TCAAAGATCATGTAGGTTTACCCAGCAATTTGGATTTAACGTGAGACATCATGTTAATTGCAAGGAACAACACAGGTTGGCTACATTAGCTAAAACAAACTACTAGTAAGTGGCATGGGATGGAAAATGAAAAACAGTTTTTAAATGCTGGAGGGAAAACAAATAGATAGATCTTGTAGTGTTTCTTCAGCAGCAGTTTATAATTACCACTCTTTGAGGCCTATTTTAAGTGAACTTGTACCGGGAGCTTGAGAAGTTGTTTAGACAAGACAGCAACACGAGGCGGGACCTGCTCTCTGAGCAGGGGCCAGGCGGGCCTGGAGCAGAGCACACACCAGTGTCTTAGTCCTTAGGTCGCAAGTCAGCCGTGGGAAGCCTCTGATTGCATGGAATCAGTTAGCTGTTGAGAAACATATTACTCCACAATTTGTGGCTAAGCCAACATTTACTTTTTTCACAGTTTTCTGTGGGTGAGAAATCCAGGAGCGATTTAGCTGGGTTCTCTGGGTCTGAGTCTCTCACTGGCGAGTCAGTTCACCACTCAGCTAAGGATCCTCATTCTAGCTCACTCACGAGATTGGCCATGATTGGACTCAGTTCCTTGTGGGTTGTTGCACTAAAGCATCCATTTTTTTTTCCCCATTTGGGCCTCTCCATCAAGAATCTCACATTATGTCACTTTGCTTCATGAGTACGAGGGACAGCAAGAGAGAGAGTCACAGTTCTTTGCAACATAATCACATAAGTGACATCCCATTACTTTTTGCTGTGTTCTGCTCATTAAAAAGGCAAGAAACCGGATCCAGCCCACTCTCAGGGGAGGTGAATATATGACAGTGGCATAAAAGGAGGTGGGGGTCACAGAGCCAGGCCAGAAGCTGCTGACCACAAGCTCGATGCCAGTATTCTCCCACGGCATCAGACTCAGGACTAGTGAATTGTGACGTGAATATCACATATATTTGCAGTGCTGAATACAGCTTTTGAAAGTACTGATTTGAGGGCGTTGAATATGATCCTTTTATGTATCCAATTGGCTGATACGTGCTGAGCAGTGCTCACCTGAGCCCCAGGAGACCCAGGAAACAGGTTTGCAGGAAAAGCTGAACGTAGAGCCCCTGTCTGAGGTCACGGAGGAGAGTGAAGATAAGCAGCCCTCGTGTCTTATTAGCATGATGCTGTAAACACAGAGAACCAGAGGCCCCAGGTACTATTTCACTGTGTGTTGTAAGGTTTTCATGGGTACTTTGCAGATCATTAGGGGGAAGGGGCCCTATAGTTAGATTATTATAAAGTTGCTATTAAGATCATGGAGTGGGAGGTTGTGCTTGTTTAATGGTCCCCGTTCCCCTATTCTCAGCTTCCTGACTCCAAGTGTACATTTTTGGCAGTAAACTGAGGAAATGATAGGGTTTTGGATTATGTGACAAATGTTTAAGACATGAGTTGAATTTCTCATTTTAATTTTACCAATTCCACTAGAAAAATCCATGTATCTTTATAGAAAGAGTTCAGGCCTCGGTTTTCTTCACCTGTTAATACCTCATCTTGGTTGCTAAACCTCCCATTTGGGAAGTTGGGGACAAATTGTTTTCGGTCTACCAGTAGCCATTGGTTAGCTTTCAGGGGATCTGTGAAGCCTTGATAAATTTCCCTCTGACACACATGTCTGGGACACCCTCACACTCCCAGACAAAACTAACTCCCTGCCCAAAGCCATGCTGGCAGTACATGCAAGCCTCAGTTACTACAGGGATCCCTCCTGGTGCCTAAGCTGTGGTTCATATTTATGGCCCCAGCTGGAATAAGCACTGGGCAAGGATAGGGAGTTTTGTCTTCTATACCTTTGCTTCCACAGCACCTGATAGGGAAACTGGCACATAGTAGGGATTTTAAAAGCGTTTGGATGGATGAAGCTGCAGTAATAATATTGGTAATTATTCACTATTAAATTTCTAAGCAAAGCAGCAGGAGAACTTAAATTTTGTCTTAACATAATGTTGGTCATTATAAGGTGATGTTTCTAGCCCTAGCCGGTTTGGCTCAGTGGATAGAGAGCTGGCCTGTGGACCGAAGGGTCTCGGGTTTGATTCCAGTCAAAAGCACGTCCCTCGGTTGCAGGCTTCTCCCTAGCCTGGGCCCTGGTCAGGGCTCATGCAGGAGACAATCAATGTGTCTCTCTCACGTCGATATTTCTCTCTCTCTTTCCCTCTCTGTAAAAATCAATGGAAAAATATCCTCAGGTGAGGATTAAAAAAATAATAATAAGGTGATATCTCCAGAATCATAGGGATTTAAAACCTACCTCCTGACAAAAACAGGCACATTTTAAGTTTACTCCCTCACATCCATCTTCAATTTTTTTCCTTATAATTGATCTCGAGAGGATTTTCTTTGTAATTTACTGTATGAATATTACATTTTCCATTCCTCTATTTTGTGTTTTTAATGCTCAATCTTTGGCTTTTTACTAGTGACTAGTAAAGTACTTTGATATTATCTTATAGCTTCAAATACTACAATAATATAACTAATAATAATCTATATTTATAAATGATACAATAGCTTCAAGTACTACTAATAATGTACTACTAATAATTAATTATTTATAAATGATATAAAGGCATGTTACATTAGTCAGCCAAGGGCTAGGGTTAAGGAACCTGGAACTTACCATGGAAGAAAGCCACACTTCACTCTTTTAAGCTTTGCGTTAAAAAATGAGTTTTGCCGATATATGGAGAAAGGTTTTGATGCTTTTGGGTTTTCAGCATAGTAAATGAGGAACCCGCGTCAAACTGACTGAGCAAGGCTCACCCGCTGAGGTTGGCTCTAAGGGTTAAGAGTTTGCTTTATGAGCTCAGGTCAGAGATTGTAGAGTCAATTGACTTCATGTACTCTGCATTGTGTATTCACAGTATGTGTTTATACTCTTCGTTCAGAATTTTTTTCTAAGGATTAGAGGCTAATAGTGCCATAGGGTGTCAGTCACATTATCGTTACAGCCTTTCTGGTTTCAGAGAGGCGATGAGGAACTAATGGAGAAGTTTGATGGGAAAGAGAGGTTTTATTTTGTATTAAATAGAAGTGCATTTTACATTCTTAATTTACAGACCAATGTAACTCATCCAGTAGCTAAGGCCAATTGTCCCTCTTGGAGAGCTGGTGGGAGAGGGCTCTTCAGTTTTTTTCCTGGACAGCTTATCATTGGATGCTGTTTAATTATCGCAGTGATTTTTTTTTTTGTCCTGGGTTTATAGGATTTCTCCTACATCTAAATCTGAAAGACCTGTACTAATTAATTCCAAGACGTTCCCCCACTAAAACAAATCCATACAGCAGCAGCTTAACGTCCCTATGCCGCTTTTTCACACCACCTCTCACAAAAAGACATCAACAATCTCAGGAAACCACGGTTTTCCTAATGAACTGGCGTCACCTACGTGGACTGTATTTGTGAGGCACATTTGCAGTTGGGGTCCACAGGAAGGACACCATTTCCTGGATCAAACCGCAGAGTGCAAATATTGTGCCCTAAATAACACACTAGTTACTGTAAATGTCAGTAGAGGGAGTTTTTCTGACTTTGATTTAATGAAAGCCTACAGCAAAGCCAGCTGTTAACACTTCTTAACTGCTTGTCAGAGTGAATGAATTTGGGAGATGGGAAGGGCCGAAAACATCCTATTTTATACTTTTGTCTTAGAATTAAGAGTTTTCTGCAGGTATCAAAGAGCAATGCTTGGAGTCTTTGCAGCTTGATGCCTGTTAGGTAGTGAATTTGTAAATTCTCCTCTAGGATGGGGGTCTGGAATTAGAGGAGATTGTGTAAAATTAGTTTGAAATATGCATCTTAAATCCTCTCACCTTGAAAAATAAGCATTTTCATTTTCTGGGCTCCCCCCTGAGGAAGAATAGCAAAGGGTAAAAATCAAGGAGGGAGAAGGCACACCAGCCGTCTCTTTGTCACTGAGGGCATCGCCAGACGGATTGTTAGCCATGTGTGTTTTGATTGATGTCATCTGCTCTGAACAAAGAAACCACTTAAAGCAAGCGCATAGGGAGGAAAGTATGCAGCACTCATTTCTGTAATTTTTGTCATTTCTAGAATGCATAGTAAACACATGTGATGGTTCAGGGTCCTCCCGCCCTTGGAGATCCCTTTGACATTACGCTGTGCATGCTGAAGGGAGATAATCTTTCAAACGCAGGGAGAGGTTACGGTCTTATTGTCCTGAAGAGGAGAAGAAAGTTTCTTCCTCAAATGATTTATAACTTGAAACATGTTGTCATGTTTCGGTAAGCCCACTTTATTAATTCCATCCTTCTCTGTGGCACATTTTTTAAAATAAACGTGCCATTGCATAGCGCTGTCTCAATAGCATATTGTACTTATAATGCGTGATGGAAGTGGCTGGGCTCTGCTTAGTCATATAGAACTCGGAGCCAAGCTCTGAGCAGACCCTCTAATTGAATTACCTGCAAAGCATTGACAGACAGGCTCTGAGGACAGACAAAGCTTTGCTTTCCGCAGCAGAGGCAGGTCGTGGTTAAGTTGCCCTTGTAACTATCTGTGGTTGGTTTCTGCCAGCGCTTTCACCATGGGCTCTGCTGGGCCCCCGCGCCCTGCAGCGGAGGAGGAGGTGGAGCTCTGTGAAAGCGGGAGGGCTCAAACATTATCTTCTTATTTTAGAGAAAATTGATAACAGATCAAGTTAAATGGAAGAGCCTTTGAAATAAAAATCCAAAGCATTTTCTGTAGATTACCAGCATTCTTGTGTGATTCTTCATCTTATTGAAAAGAGAACACAGGGGTAGAAAAGTAGCTCTTTCTGTAAGACTCTGTGCCAATCTGAAAAGTATTTTTGTTTTAACTTCTGGGAAGAATTAGAGTGTGCTCCGTTTATTCAGGAACGAATTGATGGCAGACCGCTTGCATTTGGAAATGAAGAGTAATCATCTGTTGTCTTCTCCCCTCTCTCTCCTTGTCCTGTCCACAGCCTCTGCAATCCCAGATAATGGAAGAAGGTCCTGTCTAAAGCTCAAAGTCTTTGTGAGACCAACAAGTAAGTTCCCTCGAATGAGCTTCAGAGGGTGGCTTCACTGCGCATGCTTGATTGTGTGGTCTGGTGCACAGCGGTAACACTTTTTTTACTGTTAAATCCTGTGTGGTATCTGTTTTGTATATCAACATTCATGTTTTAGTTTTCATCAGATTTTTTCTCATCATTCTTCATGATGCTTTTATTTTTAAGTACACAGCAGTTGCTAACTTGTTGTTTCTTAGACTGTTGTATGTGCACAGCAAATGGGAACAATATTGGCATTTTGATACATGCCATTGATTGTAAAACAATCTACATAAATAAAAGGAAAAAAAATAGAGAGAAAGAAAGAAACGGGAGTTTAAGGGTGTCTGCACTAACATATTTGGCTGTTATCTCTATTTTTGTTATAGATAGCTGTATGAAAACTATAGGTGTTCATGATCGTGTTTTCGATGTTAACGACAAAGTAGAAAATTCATTAGAACCAGCAGGTTAGTATGCTTAGAGAATCTCTTTTAACCAATGCATCTCTCTGGTGCTTCAGTACTTTTTTTCCTTTCTTCCTCTCTGCATGTTTGCATGTTAGAGTTGCTGTGCTTTTTGCTCATTGCTAGCAATGCTAATATTACTTATATTCTACTTCATTCCTACAGTATCTCTGTGTAGTGCATGGTAGATAAAATGACTTTTCTTTTTTGGACATGGGTTTGATATAACACAGTATCCTAATGTAGAGCCCCATCAGAATGCTAAAACTTCACTACTTTTTACCATATCCTCCGAGCATGCTGGTGAGTCACCCTGAATATTAATGGATCTGTTTTCATGTAAGACAAAAGCATTTCTATTGTATATGCTTATCAAATTTTCTTTTACATTATGTCCAAATCTGCAGATACAATAGTAACTAATTCAACATAATTTAGTTTTCTCTGCAAATTCACATGCATCACTGAAGTGATCTAAAGAACTATTTGTGCTATTATTAATAGTCATGGATTTGGAGAAGTATAGTCATGTTGCCTCCTAATACCATAAATTCACACACCTACTGCTCCCACAAATGTATTTGTCTATCGAGCGAAATGTGGTCCTTGATTAATAAGACAGAGTAAGTCTACATAGATTTTTTTTCTATTACTAACTTCTACACACCCAAACTTTCCCATCATTGCAGAAAAAGAAACACCCACAAAAACACTCATTGAAGCATTTATAATGGAGATCATGTAAACTGTCCATTTGGTTATGAATAAATTCAATCTGGCTATTTAATGCAAATCTAGACTGTGAGGAGTGGGAGCCCCAGTCCATTGTTCACTGAGGAGTGTGCCTCAATGCCCCCTTTGCGCGCCTTCCTCAGGTTTCCTTACCCGTCTTCTATAATGACCTCAAAGCTTAAGGGAAATAAAATTATTTCCTCTACACAGAAAGATGTGAGCTCCCTACTCCCACTTTTGTAAACAGATACTCTCTTTCACCTATTTGCAGTAGGACTTCTTTCTTATTGTCCTAGAAATTATCCTTTGAGCATTATTACTGGGACACACAGTCAATGAGCCTGAGGGAAACTTAGCCTGAGTAAATGTGGTGCCTCAGGACATACAATAGCTTTCACATTGTAACTGACAGGCGGAGTTAGGTTTTTTCCCCCCAAGCATTCTTGTTTTTCTAAGGCAGGCGTCTTACCCAGAGCACAAATGAGAGGTGTGCACAATAAGCTCTCAGAGGCCCCAGTGGCTCCCTAGGGATCAGTTAGCCACTTTAGAAAGTTGCAAGGAATGAGGGGAGACGTTTTAATTGTGTCCTGGAAATCTGGAAGCATCTCTTGTGGCTTTTCAAGGCCCCAGACTCCTCACAAGCTCGAGGACTCAGGCCACCATAGGACCTGTGAGTTCAATGGGATCCCCTGGAAGGACCATAGTTACTCTTCCTTTTATAACGGAGATTTTCCCAGGTCACATAGCCAGTTAGAGACAGATCCAGGCTTCTCTCACCTCCCATTCCAATGATAATATAAATAGGACCCTCTCCTGGCTTTGCTAATGTCATGCATAGAATGACTGGCAAAGTTCGGCATGTTATCAACATAACTTACCCTGAGTTATGAGTTTCCGATGCATGCTGTTAGCGAATGTAGGCGTATCTTTCCAATCTTTTTCCAGGTAAATCCCATTGCCTAGCAAGAAAGTAGAGGCTGTTTAGAAATATAACAGATAGTGTGTGTTTCTCTGCTACTTAAGAGGCCATAGGGAAAGGCAACATATTGGGATGTGTTCATATGTGAGCATATTTCACTGTCTTTTAGGAAACAGGCTCTTTTCCACTGAGCATTTAAAAATTCATGATTAGTGCACATGTAGCTGATGGAAGTTTGCAGAATGTAGTCAGGGAGAGAGTGGGAGGGGACTGTGCCTGCACAGGCATCCACTCAGGAAAAGCACCTGAGTTAGCCATGACTGTGCTTAGGGCTTTCTGGTGAGCATCTTCACAGAAAAAGGAAGACAATTGGCCCTACCATCCCTGGCTGTATAAATAATAGTTTGAGTACTTCACCTTGTTCCTTAGAAAATTCAGTCTGATTTGCAGCTGGGCAGCACGGTGTTGAAGGGCTGAGTGTAGGCCCAGACTTTGAGTGTGTCAGGCCTGGAAGGACTCCACTGCATGCTCTCAGCAACGTGTACTAATTCACCTGTCTTCGGAATGTGTTGTGTTTGATATTTGCTTGCACACTCTGCCTGCCAGTTTCCTATCATCAGGGATACAGGATGATCTCAGGGCAGACATGTGCCACATAATATGCTCCAAACTATTGCTAGTGTCCTCCCCGTTAACCATGGAAACCCTCCTGTGGTGGAATCTTAGAGCCAGGAGGCAGACTTGACTTGGCTGCTGAAGAGGAATAGTTTCTTCTTCCAAGCTGCAGTTACGAGTGTTAGAAACTCATGTTTAGGTGTAATTGCCATTGAGGTAGATTGTGCTTATGAATTCCCTCGTGGAATTCTAAAATTGTTATGATTTACCCAAATGGCAGCAGGTTTCTCATTCTGCTTCTCAGGCGCCATAGGCTCTCCCAACAGTGAGGCCCTGTTTTAACCGAAGTGTGCTTTGGAGACTCCTGATCCAGGACCAGCCTGTTGCAGGGAGAACCGTGATGCCTAAAGGCACAGATTTTCCCTGTGAGGGCAAGATGGTACCTGCCGACAGGGCCGAAAAGCACATTATTGAGCCTCTTGCTTCACTTTAGAAAAAACAAGCGCTTTTTTCTCAGTGTCCTGCAGATTCATTCACCCTGTCTTGTGCTGTGGGCTGGAACAATGGACGGCCCTCCCTGAGCACCCTGGAGGGACAGCCAGGGCTGGTCCCCTTCAAGCTCACACAGAGGACCTAAGTGTTACTTGGGTATGGTAATAGCTTAGTAAAAAGGAGGTGGAGAAGAACCCCATCACTGATGTAACTTCAGGTGTATAACAAGCACTCCATCCTCAGGGTTTATAGCTTTTTTTCACAATTAAACCTGCAGTACTCTGTTGTTCTGATTGACACTATACTGGTGCTCTTAAATGATTTGAATTTTAATTTCAGGGCTATTAAGAGCATTTACATCTATACCTTCGCAAAGCTGAGAGAGAAGAGTCCACAAGTATTGGGCTAGAAGCTGTGGGGCTTTATATTTTCCTCTGCGTCCATTTAACTTCCCATTCTTGCTTCCTAACCTTTTCTAGTCTCCTGAGCTAATAGCCACTCTCTGCAGGTTTGCTGAGGGCCTCAGGGGCGCAGCAGCTTCCATGCAAGGACAGGCTAACCTAAGAGCCCTCCAGGGCAGAAGACGCACAGCTGAAAAAACATACTTCTTAGTTCATATTGGGAATGGATGTGACGAACAGATATGCCCCCACTGACATATCTGAAGCAGGGGCTGAAAAGGGGTCACTTTAGGACAAATAATAAGGGAGTGTGACTCTACGCAGTGAAGGAAAAGCATCCTTGTTGTGACATGTTGTGCGGTATGAAAATGTGAACAAATTTATCCATGAAGGGGTTTGAGGTGGGTCATTCAGGGATTATCCTCTCAGGTCTACAAAATTGAGAGCAGTCTCCCTTGTCACCGTTCTCTCTGAATGACTGGGAGAGAAGCCAGGGCAAAAGTGGCTGAGCTCCTACAGGAAGGGTCCCTTGGTGCTAAAATAAAATCTACCACAGAGCCCCACTGTGAGTCCCAAGGACACAGTCTAAAAGCATAAGTTAGGCCAGGTGGAAGGAAGGAGGTGTACAAAGCCTCCAGTCTATCTTTGGGTACTAATTGCTGCAAAGTTCCTGTTTCAGAGTTAAGCCTGTTAATCATGCAGATCAGGAAGTCTCTGGAAAGTCAGAGGCAGCCTCAGAGAACACTTTCTAGCTAAATAAAGGAAGCTTACCTCACTTAATCCATTTTACTTAGAGGAGAATTTGCATCCACGCCGATCATTTTTGTGTGCCACGCTTCAGCCTGATAAAAGCCAAAATAGTTTAAGTTCAAGTAATTGAATCCTAGCACTACCGGGTTTGTAATGGAAATAGCACCATAATTGATGCCTAATTGTAAGCAAACCAGTGGGCACTGGTGTCTTCAGGTTTAGTGGGCATTAGTTATGTATTTTTAAATGCTGTTGTTTTGGCATTTGATTTTTCATATTTGAACATTCATCTAGGCTTCCAACAACCAGGCATTCAACACTAATCCTATGAAACTGCTTAAAATGAGGAAAACGGGTAGCCCATTCTGGTTAACCACTACTATGCCAACATCACTGCCCCCACCCCGGACATGTTACTTGCTTCTCTGTGGCACGTTGGGTTTAAAAGGTCCACTCAGATATCTCAGGTTTGGGCAAGGTGTGTCTGACTGCTGGCTAACAGAGGAGCTCATGTGCCAAAGGTTACATACAGTGTGTGCATACCCGCCCCCTCAATTTTTAAGGAAACACTATTGCTGAGAAAGTCCAATGTTCTCTGCTTCTCCTCTGTTTGCTGTAAATAATGAGTGATTATGCAGACATGAAAGTCAATGGTGGCACAAGGTTCATTACCTTACCTTGCAGAGGGTGGCCAGGTCTGTGAGCAGCAGGCTGCTGCGAGAGAGTTATTAAGGATGTGAAATCTCATTGGAATGTGTGCTTTCTGTTTGAACAGATGACACCGTACATGAGTCAGCCGAGCCATCCCGTGGCGAGAACGCGGCACAGACACCCAGGATACCCAGCCGCCTTTTGGCAATCCTACTGTTCCTCCTGGCGATGCTTTTGACATTATAGCACAGTCTCCTCCCGTCACCTGTCACAGAAAACACCAGGGTCTTGGAACACCAGAGATCCACCTAACTGCTCATCCTAAGAAGGGACTTGTGATTGGTTGCTTTGGCAGATGTCAGATTTTTGTTTTCTTTCTTTCAGCCTGAATTCTAAGGAACAACTTGGGGCCTGTGGGGGCTCAAGTAGTTGCTGCCTCCCTCACCCCACCCCCGCCCTTGCCCTTGACTTTTCTCACCCCTTCCAAATTAAATGGACTCCAGATGAAAATGCCAAATTGTCGTAGTGACCCCGGTGGTCAGCAGCGCCTGCGCACTCTCCTGTAGGAGCTCCCCTTTAGGGCCCTGTGTCAGCAGCACGTGGACGAGGAAGAATAGTGGCAGATGCAGCCGGGGATGGCGAGGCCCAGGAGGGTTCTTCTCTCCCATCCAATATTTATGCCTTTTCATTCAGGACTGTAAGAGAATCGTGCAGGGCAGCATGTCACCATGTCACGTCCAGAGGGGAGGTATTAAGGACAGGTATAATATTACACTATTTCCTCTAGGGTGTGTAAATGAACAGGCTTCTAAAAGGTTGAGACACTTTTTTTTTTTTAGATGACTGTCTTGACAGCAAAATGTGTGCTCCATAAAAGAAGCCTTTTTCCTAGGCGGCGGGTAGGGTGCCGGAATGCTACCCAGAGCGAGTGCGCGTGACATCAGAGAAAACTTAGGTTTGGTGGGGGTGTGTATGTATGAGTGCCTCTAATTTTTTTGGTGACTGGGCGGTATACACCAGATTATTTTTCCCTTTGACTACAGATCACCATGGTGCTACAACTATTTTTGTTTTTAAAGAAATTCAAAGAGGCATTTTTATGAATAAAGTGACCTTCCCCAAGGCTGACAAGCCAGGGTTGATGAGTGCATCATGGAATAGCTTTGAATCCTCCTCTGGGGCACACTTTGTACCAAGGAACACAGGTCCGTGGCCAGAGGAGAGGTGATTTGGCTTTGCTGGAGCGCCAGTGTGCCGTGGCCTTTCCCCGACTCCCACCCTAGCACCCACGTTTTGCTCCACACTCGGTGACGACAGGGGCTCGGACACAAACCCCTGGCACCCGGAGAGTCAGTCAGCACGACTTGGGAGGGCTAAAGGGAAATTTGGAATAAAAATTCCAAAGTGTGGAATAAAAAAAATTCAAGTGTTGATTTTATATTCTTTCCCTTTCTGACACAGCCTGAAAGCGTAGGGGGAACATGTGTTTATCGGTGGGAGATAAACAAGATGGAGTCCCAAAGACTTTAACAAAATATTTTTTTAAAAATCCACTAGAATAGAAAATACATTATTTAGATATACTTTATGCTGAGAGTGTATATGCTTGTCCTATTTAAACTTGTGAGAAAAAGTGGTATCCCTTGATACATTTAGAAATATGGAGGCTATCTTGTTTCCTTGTGGGGGTGGGGCGGAAGGAGAATACATGCAGGATGACCCTGTCTGCTTAAGGAATCTCAGCATGGCCAGCAAGGGATGTTTCCAGTTAGTTACCAGGAAATGCACGCCTTGGGGGCTTCTACTGGTGAAGCTATCACGAACTTTGAACTCGGAAGCCTAGACAGGGAAGAGCGGCAGACCAAGGGAAAAGAAATCTTGCCGTTTCTGCTATTGCACGACATCAACAGAAAACATGCCTTTCGAAACAAAACAAAAAATATATGCGATGATCATGTGAGATGTGAACAATTGGAAGAATTCCAGCAAAATAAGTGATTTTAAAAAATGTATGTGTTAAAAAAAGGTGAGGGGGGGGGGTCTTCTTATGGACCGATTTCGTGAATGGGAACTTGGTAAGCATCAGGAGTAGTTCTGAATTAGAGAAGTATGTGCGAGAAGGCAGCTAGCTGTAAAGGCGCTGCTCCCTGGGGAGCTGTGCACGTGTTGAAATGTAACCCGGGCTTACCTGATCTGTTTGGGGGGTGTTGCTGCTGGTCTCTGTGCCCTGGGAACCAGTGAGTGGGGCCGCCAGCCTCGCAGATACTATGGGTCCTGTCCCCCCAGACATCAGGGCCTTCTCGGGTGTGGCATGGCAGAGTCTTGTCACAGAGGCAGCCACCATTTCGCTGCAACAAAAGTTCACAGCATTGGATTCTTTTTTTCCTTCAACTGTTTAGCTGCTCAGTACTCTCAGTAATGTCCAATAATACTTCTTTTTATGAATAGTTACACAGGCTTGTTGGTCCAGTGGGATATGGGTAGGAGGGAAAGAGATACCTTCTAAAATGGATCAATAGTCAGAACCAAAATAATACTGCATGTTCTATAACCACAAGGAAATCAAATGATCCTGTAATGATGCCAGTTAGTCATAACTACATTAGCAGTGCTAATTTCATTTTAGAAATGGTGACTTCTGTGGTTTTCCTAGCATTTGTCTCTAACAAATGATGAAATAATTACTCATGGCCCTCTCTGCCACTCTCTTTCATTTTTCACAGTGAAATTAGACCCCTTCCCTTCACCATTGTGCCACTGCAAATTAAGTTTAAAAAAAGAAAAAAGTAGCAAGACTATCCATACCAGTAGACAGTGTGCTTCTCTACCTATAAAGTGATGTAATCGTAGGTAATGCTTGCCGCGGAGTTTTCAAGAAGATGATTGGTATCAGGCAGTTTTCATCTTGTCCAAAAAGTGCTGGTGGCCTTTTGTGGTGTCGTGACAACCCTCTGGGGGCTTAGGAAGATGTCGATGCAACTTGGTAGGAGCTTTTCATTTCAAAAAAACAATTCAAAAGTCTGAAGGGCAGCCTTCGCTGCCACTCAGCCCATGAGTCAGACCCCAGCGACCTTTGCCCCCGGTTGCCTAGGGCTTTGCAACATGAAGCAGGGAAATAAGGATCTGTCTGTTTAGTGGATACCGTGTATCCTTTGATAGGCCAGGTAACAGTTTGTGTTAGTTTAGACTCTTGTTTTGTACTGTACTTTCTTGGGTGGCAGAGGAAAGAAAAGTAAAACATTAAAAAAAAACTGCGTTCTTTAAATTCTGTATTATTAGCAACCTCTGTTGTATATAGTGTTTGATAATAAAGTATTAATTTGATTCTTATGTCTTTTGTAAGTGAGAACACTAGTCTTTCAGGATACAAAACAGGCCTTGAGGCTCTGAAACACCCCATGCATACTTGCCTGAGAAGAGAGGCCGCTCCACGCAGGACTCCCCTATGGTCATCGCACGCCCAGTCCTTAAGACTCCACCATCTGGGGACCTGGAACAACATGACTTTTTTTTAATCACTATTTTGGCCTCAATGTTTTCAAGGTCTGATGTTGGAGCCCTGTGGTGTGTGTAGGGTGTGTGTGTGTGTGTGTGTGTGTGTGTGTGTGTGTGTATGTATTTCCACCCCAGCATGTTGGTATGGAAAGGTTTAGGGAATTTAGGAACAGTTCTGCATTTGGTTTGGTTTTGTCTGTGGTGGCTTGCACACAATTTCATTTTCCCCCGGGAAGAGTCTTACTAGTATCACGCAGCCCAGGTACGGGAAAGGTTGCAGAGTCCCTTCGGGGAGGTTAAATGGGGCTGTTTCCCTGTGTCACTGTGAAAGGAAGAGTCACATCGTACCTGTGGGTTTCCAGGAACTTTGCTTTTCTCTGGTGCCTTAGCAACGGCAGCAGCCATTTTTATCATTTCCCCCAAATTAGAAAAACCGTTTAAACGCCTCCTCTCCATTCACTGCTCTCAGAGCTGTGGTCACTGGTGTTTATTTTGACAACCACCTCCACCAGCACCCCATTTGCCTACAACCCCCCCCTTTATTTCTTATGCTTATATTGTCGCCAGCCTTTCTCCCACGTCCCATTTTCCCTCAGAACCGTGAATGGGCAGGTCTGTCTCTGGTTTGGCATCACTGAACTTTTCCCATGCGTTGGCCCCAGAGCCGCTCGGATGTGAGACAAATCTCCCTACAATGGGCTTGCTCCCATTGTCTGTACAGTTTAATAGATGCTGGCATGTTGGAGGTTACCCATGAGTCAAAATCCGCTTTCCATGCTTCCTCTTGACACCCCATTGAAGCCGCTCATTGTGTGTGCGTCTGGGTGTGAAGTCCAGCCCCGTGTGGTCCTGCGCTTGTGCCGCCTGCTTTGCAGCTCCTTTGCACTGACCCATCGAGTGCTGTTTTGAAATGCTTACATTATATAAACCTAAAAGAAAATGTAAAAAATAAGATAAAGTAAAACACCCCACATAAAAAAAACCCATATGATCTGTGTCTGTACATACACGTGTCCGTACTAGTATACCTAAATAAAAATGAAAGATTTTCATCATTTTAATTGGAGCCCTCCTTCTACTTCTTTGTTCCTTGAATGGCGCCTTTATTTCAGGGGCTACTTTTACTCTGCTGACTTTTCAAAATCTGTGTGGACAGAAAAGAGACAGGACACGCACCAGAGGCCTGCGAAGTTCAAAGAATGCAGGGTTAGAAATGGCCCTGTAGCTAGGCCCAGTCCAGGTATTCTGATGAGAAAATGGTGAGCTTTCAGCCTTTCTCTGTACTTGAGCCTTAAAATATGACAAGCCCTGCATCCTACAATGTACCAGGGCTAATTATAAAGTATGTTCTTTTACTTTGCCTATATTTTTTCACCCCCATAAAGAAAACAACATAATAAGCTTTTTTCCAGCAAACATCTTAAACTTCTGAAAGAAATAATGACCATTATAGTAATAATCCCTTCAGTATAACCCAAAGCCTCAATTCTTACTATCAAGAAAGAACTAATTTACCACTGTGTGACGTTGGGCAAGTCACACCCTAATCAATAACTGACAGGGTTGTATATAACTGATTCGCTTGATTTTCGGAATATTGCCCTTGCTAGGTACTCTCACACCCATTTTGCATCTGGGTGATGTGAGTTTTTGTCTCTGATGACGACATTGCTATAAGCACAATTTGAAAATTTTATCTGTGGAAGGAAAAAGCCTTAAATATCTGATATAATAGACCCGTAATGCATTTCAAGACTTGGCTTTAATTACACCATGTTAACATTAAACTCATTGAAGGCTTCTTATTATAGTTAATTATTTGACAGGACACTAAACAGTAATTATAACTTACTATAACTTTTTTTGTAATGAAGAATGACAGCTTTAGAGAATGAGGAATAACTCATATAAAAGAAATGTACTGGACCACCTACATGATAGTTTAAACCAGAACAGCATGACGTTGTCATTATCATCATCACCATCATCAAAAGCATTTAAGTGATCATGCCATTGTGCTCAGTGCTGTGCAGAATCAAGTTTATGTTTATAATGTGTAATTTCAAAGTTTACAACATACGGCCGACATGTGTGAGCAAAATAGAGTACCAATTTATAAAGTAGAAGAATATAAAATTCAAGCATTTACATTATGCATAAAAAAGAGGGGAGATAGATTTTTTTTTTAAAATAAAGTGAATGAGGGGAAAAGTTGGGGATTCTAATATTAGGAAGCTAAGAGTTAAAGGAAATCATCTTTACAAATAAAATGAGGTTAAGAGCTTCTCACAAAATAGAAAACGGTTAGTTAAGAATCATTGTAGTCTATAAGCGAATGGTGCAGAGTATGGAGTCAGTGTTCAGAGTAGCTACAAAGCTAATTGCAGAAACGAGAAAACACAAGACAACGTCTGAGTGTCACTGAAGCAAATTATGAGGATATTGGTCCAGAGAAATCACCATAGTACACTAAGGAAGTAGAGGAATTGCTGAAAATATGACAATTTCAGATTTTGCTTTAAAGAATAATCAGGTAACTGTTCCTGAAGCTGTGACTGCAGGTACACCAAGTCGTGAGATGTCCAGGATCTTACCCAGGTGAAAGCTACCTGACACACAGAGAAAAGGAATAAAATGCAAAATTGGGGACTAAGATCATTTGAAGGTGACTGTGAGTCCCTGATTAAAAGGCCAGTTCCCAATAGACAGTGTTGCACACTCTAATGCAGGGGTCCTCAAACTACGGCCCGAGGGCCACATGCAAATACAAATATTGTATTTGTTCCCGTTTTGTTTTTTTACTTCAAAATAAGATATGTGCAGTGTGCATAGGAATTTGTTCATAGTTTTTTTTTTAAACTATAGTCCGGCCCTCCAACGGTCTGAGGGACAGTGAACTGGCCCCCTGTTTAAAAAGTTTGAGGACCCCTGCTCTAATGGGAAGGCATGCCAGATGAAAGGGGGGACTATGAGCAGTGGTGCATGAACCACACTTAATTTGCTTGGTAACAAAGTGTTTAGAATATTTGAGTCATTTAAGGCCATGGTCGGCAAACTGTGGTTCGCAAGCCAAATGCGGCTCTTTGGCCCCTTGAGTGTGGCTCTTCCTAAGCCTTAGGAGTACCCTAATTAAGTTAATAACAATGTACCTACCTATATAGTTTAAGTTTAAAAATTTTGGCTCTCAAAAGAAATTTCAATCATTGTACTGTTGATATTTGGCTCTGTTGACTAATGAATTTGCCAACCACTGATCTAAGGTGCTATATGAAAAGAACCATAGGGGAAATTTTGGTGAATAAAACACAGGTCTGTATCTGAATCTCTTATCCCAGGGATAATGATGAGAATCTTTTACCTCATTATAGGAATACTACATATAAAAAAGCCTAAGCAACCGGCCTATCGGCCAACCAGCCAATAACTATGATGCACACTGACCACCAGGGGGCAGATGCTCAACACAGGAGCTGCCGAGCTGCAGTGACTTGGCAGCTGTGGTTCTCACGTGCTGCACCCGGAACCAGAGAGGAGGAAGCCGAATTCCGGTGTGCATCACCCGAGAACCGCCCTCTTGCAATCCAGGACCCCTCGGGGGATGTTGGAGAGCTGGATTCAGCCAGATCCCCGCAGGCCAGGCAGAGGGACCAACCCCACCAGTGCACGAATCTGTGTACCAGGCCTCAGGTATATATAATCTAGGTGTCATTAGAAAGACTTCAAGAAAATTCTGATTAGTTGCCTACTGACCATTCTAAATTCTAACAGTTTCTTAGGAATTGTTTGCAAAACAGTGACTTAGAGATTGTTTGCAAAGCTTAGTTTCACCTTCTGCTGATAACATAAGTATCTTTCAGGAAAGCATTGGCAAAAAATGATGTGAAAAGCATGATTTTGCACAGTCTCTCTGGAAAACAACTGCTTCTGAAATAATTATAAATAACTAACCAGACCAATATTCTTTATCAGTTTTTATTTTGATATATCCTGCCATGTTAATCAAGTCGTTCAGGGGTTCAGTACATATGTGTGTGTTTTCTCAAAGCAGAGTTGTAACAGCTGATGGACCCTGTGAGCAGTAAATTTGCAATAATTGCATGTCCTTTTTTTATGTAGATGATAAATGAATGCATAGCTTTTTTTAAAAAAAGCAGGGAATTGCGTTGCCTAAGGAATTGGCTTGGGAGAGAGGTGATTAGCCAAAGCACGCTAAAAAACCAAACAAACAGAGAACCAAAACCCCCCAGCATCTAAGTGAAAACAGTGGGCTTGTTGTACGAATTCTGCTTCCAGGAAAGTCCCTGCCTCCCTTACCCTTTCCAAACCGAATGCAGCTTCTAAGCCCTTCTTGCATAGAAGTTTTGGATCCACCCCTAACAGTAGGCAGAAGAAAAAGGACTAAAGGCCTCCTGTTCAACATATCGCAACGTAGAGCCCCTTTGACGATTTCCATTCGAGATTATCACACTTTTCCCGGGAACCTCAGGACATGCTGAGAGTAAAACATGATTTCATTAACTTTCATTAAAAACACCTCTACCTCCCTTCTCAGTGTCCTGTGGGCGTGGCCATCTTACTCCTGGCAATGGCGCTATGTTGGCTCCACCCTAAAGGAAGGCCGGCAAGATAGTGCCGCTCACTTCAAATAAAAAGAACTTTCCGTTCCTCTTCTGTCTACTTTTTGACTCAGTTTAATTCCTGAATGTGGGGTTTTCTGTAACATTCATAAAAGAAACCTTTTTAGCAATACAACTAATAGCACCCTGAGATGGGGATGCTACCACCCGAGCTCGGGTAGGACCTGACCATTGGGGGTAAAAGCACTGCCTCAGGGA